GAAAATTAATTTCCTCCAGAAGTGTCTTCTAGCTTGAAGTCTTGCTATTGAAAAGTCTGAAACGATTCGGATTCCTTGTCTTTTACATGTGATCTACTTTTTTCCTGGAAGCTTGTAGAACTTCTTTGTCTTCAGTATTCTGGTATTTCAAAATAAAAAAGTTTGTGCTGGACACTTGATAGGCCCTTTCAATCTGAAAATATGTTCTTTGGTTCTGGGAAATATTCTTCAATCATATTCTTGGATGATTACTTTCTCTCTGTATCTGTGATCTCTTCCTAGAGTACTGATCTCTTCCTAGAGCGCTTAATTATTTGGTATTTGACCTCCTTGATTGATCCTTAAATAAACTTAATCTCTTCTCTCAAATATTTCATCTCTGTTGCTTTTTGTATTACTTTCTAAGAAATCTTCTCAACTCCATCTTCCAATGCTTTCCTTCAGTTATTTTTGCTATTATATTTTAATTTTCAATAACAATGGTTACTGTTCATCGAATACTCTTCTTTATATCATCCTGTTCTTTCTTTTCTTTTCTTTTCTTTTTTTTGAGGTAGTGTCTTGCTCTGTCACCCAGGCTGGAGTGCAGTGGCACAAGCATGGCTCACTGTAGCTTCAACCTCCTGGGTTCAAGTGATCCTCTCACCTTAGCCTCCCGAGTAGCTGGGACTATGAGCATGTGCCACCACCCTCAGCTAATTTTTCTTATTGTTATTAGAGATGAGGCCTCGCTATATTACCAATGCTGGTCTCAAACTCCTAATCTCAAGCAATCCTCCCACCCTGGCCTCTCAAAATGCTGGGATTACAGGCATGAGCCACCATGTTCAAACCACCATCCTGTTCTTGTTTCATAAATGCATTATCTTCTATTATTTCTGAAATAAAAATAATCATACTTCTGTTGAAGTTCTCATTTCCTTGTCTAGTCTCTGATTTCCATGAGAAATATACTGCTACATCAGTGCACCACCTATGTTCCCATATCTGCTATTTCCATCAGGTAGCTTTCTCAGAAATGCTGCACTAAAAGGACACATAAACGCAGTCTAAGAAACAACCAAGTAGCCTATGACTGTGTTTAGCAGCTAGACCAAACAGAAATACTAAACTCTCTTGGTTTTTAATACCCGGCTATCTCTGCTTTTCAAAGAGATAAAGCTAAGAGAAACCTTCTGCAAACAGGCAGGTTTCATATTGTAGACGAAAACCAGGAGCTTGATTCCACTAGCTCCCTACTTGCATCTCCCAAGTTTCTTCAGATCATCTCAGTATGTCACCTCACAGCATGGCCTCTGTAGACCCTCTCCCTGCAAGGTTGGGTTACATGTAAATGGTAGTTTCACGGCCCTTTCTAGGCCTCTAGCAACATCTGTGGTTTTCCTCTGTGTTAACACAACTACTGTAGATGGGCCTCCAGAGACCAAAGACTTGCTTGACTCCCACCAAGACAGGCAACTTCATAAATATTAATCCTGCACTGTGCTGAGCATATTCTCTGGCAAGACTAAGCCAGGTGTCAGACTCCAAGACTCTCTGTTGCCTGTACTACAAAGTCCTGGTGGCCAGGAGACGAAGGAGAGGTTCTAGCAGATGTAATTAAGTCAACAAGAAACCAAAAAATTATTCCTGGCCTAATAACAATAACCACCTTAGCTAAAGATTTAACTTGGAGACCCAACAAGGAGGTTGTCTTAGACCTCTGTAATCTGCATTTCTTTTTTCTGTAACTGTTGGGAAGTTTTGGTGCTTATCATTAGACAATCTCTCATCTTTTCAATTCATGATCTTATCCAGTCTCATGATTTTATAAACAACATATGATATGCTAATTGACTCCCAAATCTGTATGTCCATACCAGAACCTCACCTGAAATCCAGACATGAACAATTCATTCGCCTGTCTACTCAATATCTCCACTTAGATTTCTAATAGGAATCTCACACTTAACATATATAAAACTGAGTTTCTGATCTTCTCAAATGTCTATTCCTGGTATAGTCTTCCCCATTTCAGTTAATGGCCATTCTTTACTTACAGGTGCTCAGTCAAAACCTTGCAGTCATCCTCAACTCTTCTATTTGTTTGTATCGTGGTTCATGAATAATAAAGTTCATTAATCTTTGCATGGGTAAAAATGTTTTATTATGCCTTTACATATGAATAAAATTGAGAGCTCTCCTTTCAAAGTTATGTTCCCTCAAAATTTGGGAAAATAAATTTCTCAATTAGTTTATTTTCTATGATTGTAAAGTGAAAATACTGTATTAATTTTAGTCTTGTTCCTTTGTAGTCTAAATATTTATAACTCACAAGCTTTTAGAGTTTTCTTTGTACTAGATGTTCTAAAATTTCACAATTATATAAACAGATATTGATGTTTTTCAGTCATCTTGCTTCACACTCACAGGGCCCCTCTAATCTAAGAGGAATTTTCTTCTATTAGTTCTTTGATTATTTCTTGCTACTCATTTTTAGTTCACTCCTTCTGAGACTGCTCTCAGCAGAGATTAGAACCTGTAGATCTATGCTGCTTTTCTTTCATGCCTTCTATTTTTTTCTCTTGTTGCATTATATTCTGCAGTTAAAACCCACTCAGCACGAGCTTCCAACTTACCAATTTGATCTTGAAATGTGCACATTTTGCTTTTCAGGCGATCTTTAAGATTTTTCAAGATTTCTCTGGTTCTTTTTACTAGAAAATACAATCTTTCTATATGAATATGCCATTCTCTCTTTCCTTTCTGAAAAGTATCAATGATAGTTTTAAATGTCTTCTGTTTTGTTTCTGTGTTAGGGTCTTCTATTTACTGATTCTTGTGCCTTTCTTTCATGATGTTGGTTTTCCTGAAACCTGTGTTGACTCTTTGCTTCTGTACAATTTTACATGTGAGAATCCTGGTAATCTGCCTATAAATACTACTTCTGTTTACAGCAAGATGCTCCTTTGTGACTGTAGCAAGGACATATTGCTGGACAACATATACTAATAGGTTATCTGCTAGGCAAAGAAGCTCCTAGTTCCTCCAGAATGTTTCCATTTACCTTAAGGCTCTGATTCAAACTTATAATCATTGTTTTAATTAGAGGGCATCTGTCTCTGCTTCATGGGCTAGACCCATGAAGCTGCTCTGACACCATACTCAACTAACTACACTGATATTTTTCCTGGGATCCTGAAGCACTGCCATTCCTTTTTTCATTTTTTAAGCAGTCTTCTCTTGAGCTGATCTAACGCTTCCCCCTTGAAATTGATTCCAATGTCCTTCTTGTCTTTCAGAAATTCCTCACACTTGCTGGTATTCTCAGGACACCCTTTTATTCATAACAAGCTTTGCTAAAGTTGTACTTTTTTTTGCCTTTAAAATCTTCTATTTTTTTTTTCTTGTTTTACTTTCTAAGGACTTGCAGTAATTTTAGGTAATCTCTTAAGACTGAAATTATTTTCTTTGTAATTTCCCCAAATAACTGATTTTTCTCTAATGACAATTTAATAATTGGCCCTTTTAAGGTGACTTTACAATATCCCAAAGGGAAAAAAAAAGAAAAAGATAAACATCATGAAGCCAATCAAATTCACAATCCTTAGTGTCTTGGGCAATCCTGAAAGTCATTACTTCTGATAAAATAGTTCAATATGATTGTCTTCTTATAGAATGACTGGGAACCAATTTCTAAAAGTAATTAAATGTTTAAAATCCATAAATAAAAATTTATATAGATTTTCCCCAAAGCTAATGTTAAGGTTTTCATTTACCTTTCCATTCACATTTCTTAAACTATATTAACTATGTGAAATATTATATATATACATATTATATATAAATACACATTATATATGTAACTATATAAATGTACAAGCTATATTAACATTGAAATAGACTTAAGTTTTTATTCATATAATACATATACATACCCACTGGATTAATAAAAAAAAAAGTAATGATAAACAAACAATGCATTGCCTGAGATATATTATAAATTCTCAGGTAAGAAAATTGAGAGGTAGATTATTTTTTTAATTTTAGATATCTAAAGCACATTTCAGCTTTCTCAAAATTTGAAAGTAATGATCACAAGAGTCTTTGAAATGAGTAACCAGAAAATAAAGTTTAAATCATACAAACATTAAAGAGAAGGCAAATTCCATAATAAAGTGGCAGATATTTGCATTAATCTCTAAAGTCACAAAGTCTTCAAAAAACAAATGTGGCAGTCCTACCTATCCTAGTAGTATTCACTATATTGTATTTGTGTTGCTGGTGCTTATCAAAACAATAAAACCCACAGAATGTTAAAAATCATAGATTTTTAAGAGATAGAACGGCCTTTTCAATAATACAATAGTTCAGAACAGACTATAGACTCAAAAGACATAGATGAATTCCAAACCTCCTACCTACTACTCACAAGTTGATGACTCTGGACAAGTTCTCTAAGCTGCTGTTTCCTTGAGTGTACAACGGGAATAACAATACCAGCCTAGAATTGCTGTAAGGTCTCAACAAATGAGCAACTATTATCTTCTAAACCAGGATTTCTCTGTCATTTTAACCCTTTTTAGTAAACATTTTCTCTCCTATTTTGTACTAGAAAAGTGAAGTGAATTTCTTCCCACATGCAGTATGAAATATTTTTCTAATTGCACAAAATCCTATCCAAATCTATTACCTCTCTGTTCCTAATTTTCTTAAGCAACGAGCATCCCTGACCATGTCGTTCTCCTCAGGTAAAAACAATGACAACAAACTAAAGGCCAATCAGACAGGTTATGTGACTTTACAAAGATCAAACAGCTGGAAAACAACAAAGCCAAGACATGGCCCCGACTCCCAGTGCAGTGTTCTTTCTACCTTATTATGTCTTAAAATAACATACATAATAGTATAATCTCACCTGAGGTTTGTACAGTCTTTTAAATTCACTTACTCATATACATGGCAGCAAAAAAACTATACAATTAAAACAAATCACTGTGAGGTTATTTTGAAGTATTTACCTTTCTACATGCAGGGCAAAGCCCATTTTCATCAGTGCGAATTCGATGCCAACAAAATCGGCAAATCTGGTAGCCACAGGTGCAAGGGAAAAAGTTGATATCATCTATCTCCAAGGGCTCCATGCAAAGAGGGCATTCCACAGGGTCTTCCTTCGCATCAGGACTGCGAGACATCTTCACGTTTATTAAACAGCAGCAAAAGTTTATAATAATTTAAGGGAGAAGGAAGTTCAGCACTGAAAGCTAAAATGTAGAACTTTGACGACCTGCATGAGAAGAAACAAAATACATTGTTTACTAATGGAAAAACAGCATAGTCAACAATTAAGAGTCACACTGCCAAAAAAGTTAGAAAATACTGACTGAGCAACTATTGTTATCATCTTGAAATGGCTTTCAGAATGAATTTCTAAACATTTTTTAATATCAAAACAAAAGACCTGACATCATTAATATTTCAGATTCAACACAAATATAAAAGAACTTCCTTTTTTTCTCAATAAAACATTTAGTACTAGCATGGCACTAATCATAACACATTTTAGGGAAATAAATAAAGTAAAAGCACTCTAAACTGTCTCATCTTTGACCTAAAACTTAGTTAATAGTGCCACATAACTAGAAGACTATTACACTATTTTAAAGTTTGTCACAATTTATAAAATCAAATGAAAATCACAGACTTCAATTATCTATAGTTACATGATAACATCAAACTCTTGACACACAAAACATAGGCTAAAACTTAGAAAAACTTTGGGAGGCTGAGGTGGGTGGATCACGAGGTCAAGAGATCGAGACCATCCTGGTAAACATGGTGAAACCCCGTCTCTACTAAAAACACAAAAAATCAGCTGGGCATGGTGGCGCGTGCCTGTAATCCCAGCTACTCAGGAGGCTGAGGCAGGAGAATTGCCTGAACCCAGGAGGCGGAGGTTGCGGTGAGCCGAGATCGCGCCGTTGCACTCCAGCCTGGCTAACAACAGCGAAACTCCGTCTCAAAAAAATAAATAAATAAAAATAAAAAAACTAAGATGCCACAGAACCACAGATCCTAACTATACAACTAATTATGTAATAATATGCCAGTGAAAACTTCTGAGAAACATGTATTAAACAAAAGTATTCCTATGGTAATACTATAAAAAGCCTACAAGAAACAGGAAGAAATAAGGAAACAAATAGACCTTCATATCACAAACACTTTTGGAAAAGTTAAATAATATAAGTTTTTAGATTACGGGGAATTTTAAATTTTAGGTAACAGTTTAGGCTAAAGCCACTGTTAGATTAAAAGGTTAAGATGAAATCACTATTTTAAGTTAAAATCCAATAGCCTACAAACTAATGTATAATTCTGTAGTAATCCCCACCAAAATCATGGTGGTAATTTTTTACATAATTGGACAAACTGATTTACATACAAGAATAAATACATGAGAATAATTTTGAAGTTTCTGGGGGAAAAAGTCGGAATTTACCCTATCACATACTAAATAATACTACAAAGTTACAGTAATTTAAATAATTTCCTATTAGTATAAAAACTGACAAAAGAGCAAAGAAACTAAAGAATCTAGATATAGCAGGGATACTGGCTCATGACTGTTATTTCAGCATTTTGAGAGGCCAGGGCAGGAGGATCATTTGAGGCCAGGAGTTCAGCTCCCGCCAGGAGTTTAAGACCAGCGAAACATAGCAAAGACTCCATCTCTGTAACAAATTTTAAAATCAGCTGGGCATGGTGGCACATATCTGTAGGCCCAGCTACTTGGGAGGCTGGGACAGGAGGATTGCTTGAGCCTAAGAGTTCAAGGCTGCAGTGAGCTATGATTGTGCCACCGCACTACAGCAAGGGTGACAGAGTGAGACCTTGTCTCAAAATTAGAAGAATCTAGAAACAGACTCATGAATTTATGAGATTTTAATATTTGATAAAATTTATGAATCAAGATGGAAAGGCTGGACTTTTTTTATAAACAGTGATGGGACACTGGGCTATTCATTTGAAGAAAAAACGATATCTATCTAATACTGTAATTTTAAAAAAATCCCAAATGATCTAGTGATCAATAAACTATTGAAATGTTAAAGAAAAAAAACGGAATTTTTTGTTTTAATCTTGGGATACAAAAGGCCTTCCTAAGCAAAATAAAAAATCAGAAGCCATAAAAGGATACAATCGGCTTAGTAACATGGAAAGAAGAAAACATAAAACTAAAGATAAGCATCAGAGTACAAGATACGTTTGCTACATAAAATGAAGAGCTAATGTCCAGAATGTATAAAGAAATCCTACAAAGCAGTAAGAAAAAGACAAGTTTAAAAAAAAATAGAACAGAAAATGATAAGTAGTTCACAGAAGAATTACAAGTGATTAAAATATATGAAAAAATGATCAATCTCTTTAGCTAACAGCCAGGTAACATATATGTATATATTTTTTTTACCTCATCAGCCTGCCAAAGAAGTTAGTTTTTCCCTAAAGTAGAGAAGTAGAGAGTATCACTGATCTAGTCCCTCTTTCAAAAGAGGAAATGGGAGCATATTATTTTGCCTGAAGTAACACACTTATTAGTACAGACTGGATTCCTTCCAGGAAGCCTTAGCCTTAGAATCTGTGCTCTTAGCCACTCCCTTATGCCACCTCCGAACTAAGAATCTATTCTACAAAAATAGTGACACAAGTGCACCAAGTGTTCGGCTGTGTTCTACAGCATTATAAGAGTAGAAAACTGCAAACAGCATACTGCCCATTAATAGAAAAATTATTAAGTAAATATAATACAGCATAAGGTATGTTGATCAGAATATCTATTCTATAATTATACTTTTTAAAGAACATCAAGTTAGAGACTGACGTGAATATACAATTACTTTCACATAAATATATAAACCCTGTATGTGTGTATACATTTGTTTCACTAAGAAAATAAATATATGGAAGATCAGACACCAAAATGTTATTATATCACGAAAGACAAAATGGAGTATACCACAAAAGACATGAAAAGTTTATACATCAAAATGTTGTTATATCACAAAAGACAATTTAAATACTGATTTTTTAAAGAAAAAAGGCATTTTTTTTTGCAATTCAAATGGCCCTTTAAAAAGAGGAAAATTGTTTTCATTTCCTCTAGAAAAATTAAATTACTTCTCACTTTTGCCAATAATTAGAAGAAAAATACAACAAAATAAATGCCTTCTAATACATCTAAAATTATTTTAAAAAAAAGAAAAGAAAAGAAAAAGAAATGCCCAAATTTGCCACTATCCGTTTTCAGCATATATAAAGTTAGGAGCTTAATGCTGACTTCTAATGGGTCCAATTTTAAACATCCCAAAACTGTATCTGTTGAAAATATAGACTCAAATATAGGTTCCAATAACAGAAAAGTAAACTGAAAAAAATCAAAAGGTGCTATCTACACCTGTAATATCTTTGATTCTAAGACATCATTTCTTTAACTACAGGTTATTAGAGTTTTAGTGAAGTAATTTATGGAATGCTGGGAAGGAAACAATACATTGGGGCTTATGAATAGAAAAGTGTGCTACAAAGTAAATTACTATAAATAAAAGATGATATACTGAGGTTTTGCTCTTTGATTGTTTCTACATGCTTTTTAATTTTTAAAAAGTTTACAAAAGTATGTATCCTTCAGTTAAGGGGGAGGTTTAGAGGAACAGAAGGGGACAAAGGAGCAAGAAATCCTTTAGATAGTTAATAACAAAAGTAAGTACATTTGTGCACTTCTAGCACCATGGAGAGAAGCCACAGAAGCTGGCTGCCAAAAGTAATCTCATAAACGGTAAAAGGTAGTCTGACTTGGTAGAACACTGCAACACAAGGTCAAAGAGTTGACTGACTCATCTCTTTCACAAAGTAACTATATGATCTTGGATACGACATTCAAATGCTCTAGGATTTGATGTACTCATCTCAACAATGAAGAGACAAACTTTTAGGGAATTTTAAGTACAGAGCAATTTCCTAAATGTATTATAATACCCTTCTAAACTAAGCTTTTAAAACAAGTTTTGAAATTGACTCTCCAAAATACCTTTGCCCAAATTGTCATTTAGAGAATAATAATTTTACTTCATAAGCCAGACAACTAATATTAAAATTAGAACTAAATAGGCTAGGCGTGGTGGCTCATGCCTGTAATTCCAGCACTTTGGGAGGCCAAGATGGGCAGATCACCTGAGGTCAGGAGTTTGAGACCAGCCTAGCCAACATGGTGAAACCCTCTACTAAATTACAAAAACCTTCTACTAAAATACAAAAACCCTCTACTAAAATACAAAAATTTTTAGTCTCTACTAAAAACACAAAATAAATGAGCTGAGCGTGGCAGCGTGTGCCTGTAATCCTAGCTATGAGGGAGGCTGAAAAAGGAGAATTGCTTAAACACAGGAGGCAGAGGTTGCAGTGAGCTGAGACTGTGCCACTGCACTCCAGCCTGGGAAACAAGAGCGAAAACCCTATCTCAAAAATAAATTTAAAAAAATAAAATAAAACAATGAGTTGAAACAGTAAGATTTATAATGTTATAAGACACAGAAATAAAATATATTTTTAAATGAAAAAGGCAAGTAAGCCAATGATTTCCTGAATAGGGTGTGGGAATTCTAAGAATTAATTTTGCAGGGAAAAAAATATTCCTTTTTAGCCAGGCACAGTGGTTTACACGTGTAACCCTAGCACTTTGAGAGACCAAAGCAGCAGGACTGCTTGAGCCCAGGAGTTCAAGACCATCTTGGGCAACACAGGGAGACCTTGTCTCTGCGAAAAATTTAAAAAATTAGCCAGGTATGGTGTTGTGTGCCTGTGGTTCCAGCTACTTGGGAGGCTGAGGCAGGAGGCTTGCTTGACCAAAGGGGGTCACAGCTGTAGTGAGCCATGTTCATGCCACTGTACTCCAGCCTGGGTGATAGAATAGGACTCTGTCTCAAAAACAATGCTGCCAGGAACACTGGCTCATACCTATAACCCCAGCACTTTGAGGCCAAAAGTTCAAGACCAGCCTGGGTAACATGGCAAAACCCTATCTCTACCAAAAAAAAAAAAAAAAAAGTTAGCATGGTTGGTGGCACAGGACTGTAGTCCCAGCTACTTGGGAGGCTGAGGTGGGAAGATTGCTTGAGTCTAGGAGGCAGTGGTTAAAGTGAGCTGAGATCATGCCACTGAACTCCAGCCTGGGCAGCAAAGTGAGACCCTGTCTCAAAAAATAAAAAGCCTTTCTATATACAGGATCCA